ACTGGCATAAGCGAGCTAATATAAGGCTCAACAGGTCTGACCAGGGGGTAGCCAGGGTTAAAAATGTGCTTTGAGATCATCAGCTAAATATGCTAGAACAGTGGTTCTCAACCAGGGATACGCATACTCCTGGGGGTACACATACTCCTGGGGGTACGCATACTCCTGGGGGTACACAGAACTCTTCCAGGGGGTCCAGCAACTCAACTAGACATTTGCCTAGTTTTACAACAGGCTACAGAAAAAGCACTAGCGACAGTACAAACTAAAATTTCATCCAGACAATGACTTGTGTCTACTGCTCTATGTACTATCCACTGACATGCAAGGCCACTATTTATATCCCAATGGATTTATTTTATAACGACACGGTAAAAATGAGAAAGTCAGCAACCGTTCAGACCCAATGTGCTGTGACACTTGTCCATTTATGTCTGATTTTGTGAGCAAGTCGTTTTTAAGTGAGGTGAAGCTTGTGGGGGACACAAGGCAAACCAGACTCCTGAACGGGGGACAGCCATCTGGAAAGGTTGGGAGCCACAGGGTCCTGCTGCTGACAGCAGCTCTGGAGCTCAGACGAGGGCTCATTCGTCTCCTGAGCTCACGAAGCAACGCGCTCTCCCTTAATAACCGAACGGTGCAGCTGTCCCCCATCGGGGCTCACAATGCTGGGGCAATCACTGCAGTACTGGTTCATACAAGGGGTTCCACGCTGTGATGTATCCCCCGCCCATCTCAGTTAGCCATATGGGAAGGGCAGGATGGCTGTGACCCCCTGACATCTGTTTGTGATGCCCAGGTGGAGGGGCCCTGGGATAAGGGACAGCAGCTCTCTTCTTATGAGCGTCTGCTGGGAATGGTCTGTGCAGTTCGCCGAGCAAACCTGTGCTTGGCTAACAGCGCAGGAGGTTCCACACGCGGCTCGGGGGGGGTGGGGGGGGCACCGGCTCAGATGATCCATGAGGCACCTGGACGCAGGTGCCCTGACGCGGACTCCCTGACTTGCTTCCAGCGAGGTGGTGCCAGGCCAGAACGAACACCATGATGCCGTGCCTGACCCCCTGATAGGGGGGTGCTGTGACATCGCTGCCAGGGGCAAATAAACCTCTGCCCGGGGGAGCTGGCAAACCCACAGCCGGGCATTGCCATGCTGGGGGCTGGGCAGGGCAGGCATCGCACCCGGTGCGGCAGCCTGGCTCTGAGCACAGCTTTCCCACCCGTCGGCAGCTCAGAGGTCCCCTGCAGTGCGCTAGCCAGGGCACGAGTCACTCTGCCCATTAGGGGCAGGCGGTGGGATCAGACCCTGTGTGCCAGGGTCCCCAGCGCCGACACTTTCCCCACTCTAGACGACGGGGATCTGAGGCAAAGGGCAGCCCCCAGGCGCAAGACACAGAAACGGTCTGTCCTCTATATCGCAGCTTCAGAGAGAAGCAAACCAAGGGTGGTTTGCTTTAGATAACTGCATTAGTTAGACCCCTGGCACGGGGCTATCTTTGGAGAGGGGCACACGGTCCTGTTTATTCTGATGCAGCGCAACCTGCTATAACATTAGGCCCAGATCCAAATTCACCGCAGGGCGAGAGTGAAGCGCATGGGGCCTTTTCACCGCGTCCCAGATTTTACATAAGAGACTCAAGAGGGTGTGTTCAGCTAGGCAGCGTCTCGAGAGCGAGGTGTGTTTTCGTATAGTGCACATGCCTATAAAATGACTCCCACTGCACATACCAGCCAGTGCTCAGAGATACTGACAAAGTGCCATCCTTGCATGGGGACACACACACACACACACGCACGCACACGCATACACACACACGGTCTGTATCAGATACCAGCTGGCTGCCAGGTTCAGCCAGCTACATTTCAACCGGGACCACTGAAACCTTAAATCTGGAGTCCATTTTCCCAGTGGCTCAGCATTATCCGGGTTGATATAAACTGCAGTTCCAGTCCACATAATCCTAACACACACAGACACCCAAATTATACACACGCACACACACACATATTACGGATGCACTGACACGCTACACAAACACAAACACACCCTTCTTATACATAAGCCGAGGGCCTGATCCTGACACCTTTACTCCTGTGGGTAACGGTGACGCAGCTGGGCCCTTAAGATGTAAGCGGCTTGGGTCCAGGACTTGGGTCCCTTTATTTGTCTATACAGCACCATACACACCAGCAGGGGTCTAGAATCACTCCTGTTATCAGACATCGCATACCTGTGGGGACGTGTGTACGGGCTCTTTTGCCAATCCCAGCCTAAGGGAGTTAGGCACTCAAGTTCTGCTGTATTGCAACAGGACTTGGGTGCTGAATTCTCTTTGGATTCTTTGAAACTTCCAGGCCATCATCATCTTTGCACCCACACATCTCCTGGATGAGTTTTAAGGCTCATTTGGGGCTGCCCTAACTGGCTCCCTGGCTGTTACCCAGTGGGGAGAGTTACTTTTCCAGCCTGCTCCGCACTTGGGTCCCGACACACAAGATCTCTTTCCCAGCACAGGGTGGGTGTGTTGGCCCTTCTTAGCTCCAGGAAGGCTGAGACTCCCTGACTACTCCACATCGCGAGTAACTCGAGCTAGGGCCCTTCTCGCCCAGATGAGTGTACACATACTGTATAAATGCAAAAGGAAGCTCCTCCTACTCCCCCCCCCTTTTCTGATTTTCCAATGACAGATCTAGGTCACTAGGACAACTTCTAATACTTGCCAAGCCCACAGCACACTCTTAGCCATGCTGTCTTTCAAAACAAGAGACCAGGAGGTTTATAAAACCAATAGGATTATACAATGCGCGTCTCAATCTGTACAGAATGCAGTCCTGGCCAGTTGAAACAGGGAAGGGTGGGGAGAGCCACAGAGAGAAGCAAACAGCTGAGTATAATTAATAGGGAAGGGTATCCGTACAGAGGAGGTGGTAAAAAGAGAATTCAGATCAAGACAATTTTTGGTTTGGATTCGAATGGAGAACCCAACCTGAGCTTGCCAGGTATATCGGGCCATCCTCCACTGGCGTATATCGGCGTCACTCCAGACAGCCGAGGCAACTAATGACCCCCCCAAAATTCAAAGGAAGGAAACTTCACCCACCTGCTAATTAATTGCTCAGTGTTTGCGCTGCGCTTTGGCCACATGAAGCGCTACGTAAGGGCTAGGCGTTGTTATTAATTGGGAGGTCGTTAACCCTCTCCTCCCCGTCAACGAGCCTGGACGTCAGGCAGAGAAAGAAAAGGCAGTCGATGGCCACACGGGCCCAATTCCCCATCAGCCTGCGCCCTGTGCTGTCAATGTACCCCCCTGCGTATAGAACGCTTTTGCTCTGATGTGGCAACATTTTCCATCCGCCTCACGCTGGTGCCAATGACGACACGGGGCACAAGGAGATGGAGAAAATGAAGACCTATGTGGCAAGAGGAAAATCAGACCCATATGTATCTATGTAAGGAGTTGTGTGAGGCTGGTTACACACACTCACACTGAAACGTCCAACAGCTCCTCCAGGGAACACCAAACCCAAGAAAGTCACCGGAACGTGATAGAAACAGAAAATCACTTGAAAGGAAGAAAGAAATCGGCACAACACGACCATCACACTCTATACATCTACCGCGGGGGGGTGGGGGTGGGGAACAGCAGGAAGGGTCCAATCCTCAGCCATCGGACCCTTTCTACGCTTGAGGGGCAGAATCAGTCCCGAGTCTTGCAGCTGGATCCATTACTTCCCCCAGGATCGTTCCCAACGCAGTCTCTCTCTCCTCCATCTTCCCCCCTTGCGCCTAATTCTTTTGATTCCTATTTTCATTTTTTTTTTAAAAAGGAAGGCTGGGAATAATCTTTAATAATAAATGAAGGGGGATTTGAACTGTCAGATCGTCATGCCAGTGCCTTCTGACCAAGTCAGATATTATCAGACAAGCCTACCCCCAAATGAATACTTACTCCCTGCCCCTTTCCTCGTACGAAATCACTTGCTTCAAAATACTGTTTTCAGCCTCCCCTTCCATCCCTCCCATAAAGGAAAATAATCAAAATCCTTAATAATAATAATAAAAAATCAAATTATAACAGAAGCAACATATTGAAAAGGAGCTTAAGAGCTTTTCCTAGCACTGAAATCCTAAGTGAGGTCTAAGCTGGTGCATAAAATGGAACAAAACAAATAAGAATTGGATTCATACTCACAAACGATTCACCGCCCCCCCCCCCCGAAAAGCCAGATTTACCCATATGCATTTCCACGCAAATGGACAGTCAGTTTCAAACCCCTCCTAGCAACAAACAACTTTAGCAGTGGAAAAATATTTTCCCTCATCTGCTTTGCAAGACTTTTTTTTTTTTTTGACCAGAGACTAAAATACCAGGCAGCTCTTTTAGATTATAGAAGAAAAAAACCCAACATGATTCTGTGTGTGTGTTCTGAGTGCCAAGCGATGGGTGGATGTATCTTTTGTCCAAATCCCACAAAAACAACCGTAATGTCAGAAAAATGTGCACCCTAAATTACAAAAACATTGAAAATAAAGGTTTCAGAGTAGCCGCCGTGTTAGTCTGTATCCGCAAAAAGAACAGGAGTCCTTGTGGCACCTCAGAGACTAACAAATGCTCTAATAAATGTGTTAGTCTCTAAGGTGCCACAAGGACTCCTGTTCTTTTTATTGAAAATAAAGAAAGTCCAAAAACACCCCCCAGGAATATACATAACAGGCTAAATCTCTCCAAGAGCTCTCAACACCCAGAGACCAAACAATATACATTGCAAGTCACACTCTGTGTTGTGCTTTTTCAAATGCACTTTAAAAAAAAAACAAAAAACACAACCTTCCAGGATTTTTAACAGTCACAAAGGATAAAGTTATTGGACTTGGCTAGCCAAGTTGAAGTGATGCACAGCTATCTGCCTCTCCGGGCTGGTAATAAGAGAAAAAGGCTCATCTGGGTGACCAAGCGAAAGTTGCCTGCACTGTAGACACGCATGCATCATAATAATCTTACCTCGCATCTTGGGGCTTTCTGGTATTAGGATTGGGTTGAGAATATCATGAAAACACGCAGCCCAGGTGCCTAGGACAGCAGCAATTCCTTTGATAAATTAAGTCTCCAGGATTGGGTCCTTGTTCTGGGATGGTGTTTTGCTCTCCTAATTATGGGTAAGTGACTGGATCTGCCTCTTCAGCCACTCTAGGTACCTGCCCCTCTCTCTCCCTCTCCTGGGCTGCTAGTCCCTGCCACAGCTCTGCTAACCTACTTTCCGCTGGAGCCGACGGAGCATGTGGAAATTCACATGACAAATCCCTGCTCAGACCCCGCCCACCTCAAGTCAGTTTCACTTTGCGCCCCGCCCCCTTTTCTCTCCCTCCCTTCCTGCATCCTCAGCTCCCTGTATCCACTTTCTTAGACATATTTCCTCTTCTCACACCCTCCCCTCTGATATGAATCAGGCCTGGTAGGTAGCTGGCTTCTTTTTTAAAGCAGGGGAAATGAAGGAACATGACAACCGGGGAAAGCCAGAGGCTTTGTCATACCAGCCCTGCATCGCCAGCCACCCAAACTTACCCTTGGATTGCACGGAAAGGCCTGATCCTTCCGGCAGTTCCTCCCACAAGTAGGTTTATTCCAGTAGGTAGCCCTGCTGAAGTCTAGGGCCTGTCCTGAGCGTCTCTACTTCTTTTGAGATCGCTGCTCCTGATCCCTGCCCCATTGGAGCGGAAGGTACTGGGTACCTAGAACACGGTGTGCAAGCCCTGTAAGCGCCTCCTGCTGGCTGGGCATGGCTCTGCAGAGACCTGCCTCGGTTTCCCCTTTAAGAACGCCACACAGCCCACAGGTATAAGGGGAAATTCCCCTGCAGGGGTTTTACTCTATTAAGTCCTAATAAAGTCTCTTCCGTCCAGACTCAAAATGAAATCTCCCTGGCCTGTCAGGGGGCTGCACAGCTCTGCTTTCTTGGGGCCTGTGTTTCCGTGCTCTCAGCAGCTTCCCCGCCTGCTTCCTTCAGGACCCTCCCAGCCGCCCTCTCTCTCATTCTTTGCCTGTCCTCCTGGGGCTGAGAGAATGCCACCTGTAGCTGTCCTGGCCTTGCTCTTCCGGCCCAGCTGCCTTCCTGAAAGCCCAACTAGGCAGCCGTGATTAGTTCAGGTGCTCTCCCCCCATTCCCTCTTAAAGGAGCCACCCCCCTCTGACACTGTCTCCCAGGATCAGCCTTTCAGCATGGAGCCACACACGCGTCAGCACCTGTGTTTGCAGCTCCGGGCTCTGTAACATGCATGCAAACATCCGCCATCGTCAATTTTTCCCTTGACCTTAAAACCCATGGGGGGGACCTGTCCAACATGAACCCCCGAGACTGACAGAAAGGGTGACCAGACAGCAAGTGTGAAAAATCGGGACGGGGGTAATAGGAGCCTATATAAGAAAAAGACCCAAATAGCGGGACTGTCCCTATAAAATCAGGACATCTGGTCACGCTACTGACAGAAAGGGGAAGTTAGAGTTGAAAAAGACATGGCGAGAGGGCTAACGAGTGCATCTGTGCCTGCGTGTTAGCGGCCACAGTTGTCTTTCTACAAGCTGTGCTCCAGCTCAACCGCAAGTGATGGGCTCGAGGCTGGAATCAGCTGTGAGATTCTCGGGCCTGTGCCACCGGGTTGGACTAGACCAGTGGTGCTCAACCTATTTCCCACTGTGGGCCACATATGCAGCTCTCTGAGCGTTAGGTGGGCCTCATCCACACAATATATACACTACCTGGGCGGCCCTGAGGATGTCACACGGGCTGCAGCTGTGTGCTGACTGGGCCGCAAATGGCCCGCGGGCCATGGGTTGAGAACCACCGGACTGGATGATCAGAATGGTCCTTTCTGGCCATAGACCCTAAAACTGCTTCTTATTCCACAACGCTTAAGAATAAAACGTTAAGAGATCATAAAGAAACATTGCTTCCCCGTACTCCCCCATCTGTTGTCTCTAAGTCTTATACTTCGATTGGAAGCTCTCTGGGGCAGGGACTGTCTTTTTGTCCTGTGTTTGTACAGCGCCTAGCACAGGGGTGTCTGGTCTGGTGCTACGATCATACAAACAATAAATAAACCTAATCATGAATCTGGGCCTGGATAATTAGTATCTTTTTACAAGAGCCGAGGCTAGCTGCTGTTTCCCAGCCAGAGCCGAGAGTGAATGGGGGGGTGGAGGTCACTGCTCTGTGCCCTCCGCAGTGTGGAAAGAGACCTTGAGGTGTGTGAGCCAGCAATGCATCACTGCAGCAGAGGGTACAAGACCAATGGGATCCCATGCTGCATGTGCAATTGCTCCAAGTTTTGCTTCTGCGTGACCCTGGTGGGGGTAGCCTCTGGCATCAATGGCTAACACCCCAGGCCATTTGCCAGAGCATGACCTTTTTATAACCCCAACCCACACCAGCTGATTGGGACCCGGACACAAAGACCAGACTTTTATTAGTGCTACTGTGTGCCATGCCTTAAAAAGGTGGTGTCAGCAGTGGGATAGCAGAGTGTGAGCAGCCATGTTAAATAGAAACCTGTCATCTAAAGTCCCAGGCAGGCTTGGAAGTTCTGCTGATGTGCTTTGCCATGCTGGGGAGTGAAGCGGGGGATAAAGACCGAAGGATGAGTTTAATCTGCCCTATTTCCCTTGACTTTGCCTGGTGCAATGCAGGAATGCTGGTTCCAATGGCGAAACAAAGGTGGGACCATGGAAGACTGGTCTTCATGGCCTGGCCCCAGGTTCATTGCAAAGCCCTGGTAGATTCCGGGGAGCCATTCTTCGAATGCTGCAATACTCGCACTGGTTTATTAGATCACGGGCAGGAGCAGAGGTCAATAGACGTTGAAACAGAAAGTGAGACTGAGTTGCACCAGCCAGGGACAGGTGAGGGAGCTCCCATCTCCCTGCTTCCCTGACTTCAATCCCCAGACAGAAGGATGAACACTGTAGTGCCAGCATTTGAGAAGCTTCTTGAGCCAAAGGATGATTCTCCTGGAAGCTACGGAGCAGGAAACTAGAGCCAAAGAAATACCACATCAAGAGGGCCCAGCAGCTCCGCCCAGTGCGAGGGAGAGGGAATGACAGATCCCAGAGGGTGCCAGGCAACCTGCCCAGGTAACAATCCCAGCATCCAGCATAACCGCCCAAGCATAACTGCAGGAGAGACAGAAGACACCTGAACAGTCTCAAGAAGGGGGTTGTGGGAAGCTCTGCCACTGACCTTGCAGGTGACCTTGGACAACTCCCTTGTCCACTCTGTGCCCGTTTCCCACCTGCCCTTTGTCTATGTTGACGGGACGCTCACTGGGGCAGGGGCTGTCTCTTGCTTTGTGTTTGCCCCAGGCATGGCTGGTTGCAAATCCATCTGAGCTCCTCCAACAGAAGGCCCAGCCTTGTCGGGGTTACGAGGGCTCTGCCGGGTGGGAGGGAGGAAGGGGAGCCCTCGAGGTCAGGCCGGCCTCTGGGTAAAGGGAGTGGGAGCGGGGACTCGGATCCTTTCACTAGCCAATTCCACGGAGGCATGTCTAAGCCCAGGAAAGTTCCCCACAATAGTGTGACCGTTCCCCCGCTTACACATGCATGTTCTCAGGCCATGGTCTCTGCTGGGGCAAGTACAAGTAATAATAATGCAAGATAGGGCCCAGCTTGGGCTCCCCCGAAATCCACAAAACTCCCACCGAGCCCCGCAGCCACCTAAACTCCCTCTGCGCTTATGCGTCTGGCGTAAAATGTTCCTGCCTCTGGGCACGTGCGCAGCTGCCTCTCTCTAGGCACCCGGACGCCCATCTCCTGCCTGAGCCCCAGAGCGGGTCCCAAGCCAAGGGGAGATGGGTGTTTGGCCCCCTAAGTCACATGCCCCATGCATGGCTGGTTGCAAATCCATCTGAGCTCCTCCAACAGAAGGGCAAACTACTATCCCAGAGCTGTGTGTGTGTGTGGTGGGGGGTGGGGGCCTTGGGAGGACGTGCGGCCTGAGCCAATGCCCACTGAGCTCGACATGAGTCTTACCACTGGAACAGGCCTTCGGAGCACTGGAAAATGTCTGTTGGATACAGGAAGCAATGAGACCTAGCAGCCTGTGGAATAATCTCCATGGGGAAGTGCTGAAAGCTCTACTAGACTGGACGAAGCAGCGGAGAATATGCTGCATGGAACAACCCAGGCAGAGTATAAGGGTCTGTCTCTACTACGGCAGTAGGTCTTTCGCAGCCCTGGTTTCCGTAACTGGCAGCTGGGGACCTTACGTTATGCCAGCCCCGTTGTGAACCCTGCACCCGCTCAGGCAGCCAGGGCTGTCCCCACCCCTTATATAATCTGCTCCACACATCTGTCTTGTTTTCTTTGCTTGTGACAGTAAAGTCTTACCTAACGCGCTCGCCAGCTAAGGTTCAGCCTGGAATGGGCGTGTCATAGGACCATGTGCAGGTGCTGTGCAAAGGCCCAGGGTGCCGAGGCTTGGAGGGGATAATACCCAGGGTAGTTTCCTTGGTCAATGGAAGGGAGAGAGCGGAGATTTGCGGAGGCAAAGTGGCTGGGGGAGAGTGGGGAGGCTGAGGGATGTGGTGGGTGCGTAGGTGGTACAGGCCTGAGATGGGCTTGGACCTGGGTTCTAATGTTGGTCTAGGTCACAAGGTGAGTTTGGTGCCTGCACCTCAAAAAGCAAACACCCCCCTTCCCCCACCCAGTTTGACAACTGCTCATGGTCAGGAGTGTGGTCCTGATTCAGCAGAGCATGGGGTTCAAGTTAATCTGTCCTGAGTGAGCTCGGCGCTTCAGTCCCACTTGTGTTGAAGTGCTTTGTTGAATAGGGATGGGATTATTCGAGGGCAAGCAGTGTGGCCTAGATTAGGACTCAGGAGCCCCCAGTCCTGGTTTGTCTGCTGGGTGACATAGAGCTAGTCACTGCCTGGCTCGGTGCCTCAGTTTCCCCTTCTGTGAAATGGGGACTGATACTGACCTCCCTTTGTAGAATGCATTGAGATCGCCTGAAGAAACGAGCTAGGCAGTATTACCATTAAAATGACGCACGTTCTTTGCAGAATCGGGCCCCCCCACAGAGCTCAGACACCCATGTAAACACAAATGTGCAATTAACTGTCCCCTGACTCCTCACCAGCCCCCGAGGGTTTCCGGGACAGGAAGTGAAACACAAAGGAATGGAAGTCGTGCTGCCCGGGGTGAGTGGAATATACAGTAGCTCCCCAAACAAGCAGTGCCAACGCAGTGGAGGGAGGGGCATCGCGCCCTG